TATTAGGAAGGGAACTGAAAACAGATCAGCCAGTATCAACATGCCCCTGTATAAATCAATGGTGCATCCTCATTTGGAGTACTGTGTACAGTTCTGGTCACCACACCTCAAAAAAGATATTATCGCATTGGGAAAAGTGCAGAAAAGGGCAACTAGAATGATAAAAGGGTTGGAACATTTTCCCTATGAAGAGAGGTTAAAGCGCTTGGGGCTCTTTAGCTTGGAGAAATGACAACTGAGGGGTTACATGATCAAGGTTTATAAAATTATGCATGGGAAAGAGCAGGTAGAGAAAGAGGTAGTTTTCTCCCTCTCATAATACAAGAACTCATGGGCACTCAATGAAATTGCTGAGCGGTCGGTTTACAACGGATAAAAGGAAGTACTTCTTCACTGCCACAGGAGGTGGTGGCAGCTACAAGCATGAATGGCTTCAAGAGGGAACTGGATAAGCATATGGAGCAGAGGTCCATCAGTGGCTATTAGCCACAAGGTATAGATAGGGACTCTTGGACTGGGGCAAGTGATGCTCTGTCTTCTTGGTGCTTGGGGGGGGGCAAGAGTGGGAGGGTTTCTAGTGCCCTGGCCCCACTGCTGGACCTCTTCTGATGGCACCTGGTGTTTTTGGCCACTGTGTGACACAGCGTGTTGGACTGAATGGGCCACTGGCCTGATCCAACATGGGCTTCTCTTATGTTCTTATGCAATGTTTTATGTGGGGCTGGTGAAGGAAAAGCTTTCCTGGGGCAGAGAGTTCCCAGGGTGGAAGGGAAATCCAAAACTGAAACCAACAGTGAAGCTGTGGGGCGGGGTCCAGGTACAGGACGGAGGTGGGGGAGTGTAAGGCCAAGGGTTCAGTGATTCAGCAAGACAACAGCGAAGCTGGGGAAGTGTCAGAGTCCCGCAGCAATCAGTTCTCAACAACGTTCCTTCAGAAGGTTCGAGTGTATTGAGTACAGTAAAGGCAGGTCACCTGTGCATACATGCAGTGTCAGAACTGATTGCTAGCACACGAAATGAGAAGATATACCCAATTCAAAACAAGGTCCCCTGATGGGTCTGAGCCAGTCAGGATCTAAGCTGAAGCCCGCCTAAGCTAACGGGTCTGCGTTCCCAGTGAAAGCATCAGCAGCCTGGTACCAAGGTCACAGGCCCAGGCTAACAGATAAGACGAAGCGAGGAGAAACGGAAGCTAAGATTCCAGCAGGCTGCCACCACCCTCCACCTGCCATGGCAGCAGCATAGCTGACAGGAAGCAGGCTGGGGTGCTGAACTAGGAGGAAGTCGGAGAGGGCAGAAGTCTTGAAGTGGGCAAAATCCAGAAGGGAGGTTTGATCTTGCCCAACTCCATCCAGAGCCTGGGATCCACAGCAGGAGGGGATGGGATGGGATGGGATGGAGGAGATTCTTGTATCCGACTGGTTCCACTGTGCAAAAAAGGACTATGGACAACACGGGGCACTGGCCTGATCCAGCGGGGGCTCCTCTTCAGATCCTTCCCTCCTCATCTAGGACGCAGCTCAGCCTTAGAGGGTTGTCTGCGTGTATGTCCAACATTTCCAGAGTGTTTAAATTTTAAAGTTCCAATAAGGGTAATTTTGAATTCATGGATCAAATGTGAACTGTCAAAAAAGTCGGGTGTTCCAAATCGGATGCCAATGAAATTTTAAAAAGTCAAGAAATATCTCTTCAAAGTTTCCTGATTACTACACACTGACAGTCTTTCCTGCTTGTTCCATTTCACATTAAATTAAGATGACTAATTAATTCAAGGTGCCCCTTCCCCTCCTTCCTTTTCCCGCTGCTTTCTAAGTCAGCTCGGGCTCCCTGGGAGGAAAGGAGACAGCCACAGTATCTGTGCCTTTGCTACAACCAAGCTAGTTTGATGCAACCCGCTCCTTATAGGTAGTCTAACGTTCTCAGGGTCAGAAATGGCTGCCGGGGGGGGGGGGGGGGGGGGGGGGGGGGGGGGGGGGGGGGGGGGGGTGGCCATCTCTGCCAGGGCCCTGCAGTGGATCCAGCCCCTTCCGTCTCTCAGCCTACCTACGTCACAAGATTCTCGTGAGGGTAAAGTGGGGGAAGGAAAACCCCTCTACTTTAAGGGGAGTGAGAGAATGTGGCATGCTCTGGTGTCAGCTAGACATTTGGAAGAACTCCCTGACAGTGAGAGCGGTTAGAACAGGCTTCCTCGGGAGGTGGTGGGCTCTCCTTCTTTGCAGGCTCTCAAACAGAGGCTAGGTGCTCATCTGTCAGCAATGCTGATTCTGTGAACTTAGATCATGAGAAGGGAGGGCAGGAAGGGCTGCCTCAGTGCTTAGTTCTCGGGGGCCTTTCTTACATGCCCAGGGAAATCCTGATTGTGCCCCTTTGGGGTCAGGAAGCACTTTTTCTCCAGGCCACTTTGGCCGGGGATCCTGGAGGCTTTTTGTCATCTTCTGGGCATGGAACAGGGGTCACTGGGTGTGTGTGTGGAGGGGGAGGTGTTTGTGAATTTCCTGCCTTGTGCAGCAGGGGGTTGGACTAGATGAGGCCAAGTCTTCCGGCAGAAGCCTCCGGGGTCATTCCTACCGGTACAGCTTCCGGATGCCACCAGGGAGTCTGGCTCATGCGCACCTCTGCAGTTTGAATGGTCCATTTGGCGACGGGGGGACGGGCGGACAGGCCCCGGTGGATGTGTCACTCCAGCGCCATCAAGGCCTCCACCCCCCAGGGTGCCCTCTGGGGGGGGGGGAGTAGCGTCGTCCACCTGCTTCCCGCCCAGTCTCGAGAAAGGGCTCCTGAATGCCTTCAGCTCCTGCTGCGCTTTGTTCTGTTCTGGACGTGGGAAGAGAAAGCGGGAAGGGCATGCGGGGGGGGGGGTCTGCTGCCTCCCAGCTGCTGTTCTGGGTAATCTCCCCCCCCCAACCACAGATGTGGGACCAGCTCATCCAGGCAAGACATGGGGGGAGACGCTGGCCGTGGGCCCCTGGAAAGGCCAATGAAATGCCGAAAGATGGGAGCACTGGGAACGGGACCTGTTTCTGTCCCACCCTTCCTGCCAGGAGCTCAGGGTCACGTGCTGCACGGTTCTCCCCTTTTGTCTCATCCTCACACACAACCCTGTGGGGCAGGCCAGACGTGAGTCCAGCTTCGCCACCGAGGGCGTAGCTTAGGGGTCCCCAATCTGGCGCCCACCGGCACAAGGCGGCTCCTGTTTTTAGGAAGCGGGCAGAGCCAGGAGGGGGCTTCTGACGAACTACAGACTCCTGGCACCAGCTGCCGCCACAGCACAACGCACTGCCCTGCGTGGCAGGAGGACAGCCGTGGCAGCCGTTTTGAGGCTGGCCCCACCTCCCGCCTCAGCCATTCCACGGCTGTGCCCCCCCCCACTCTGTGCCGGAACTCTGGAGGTGCCCGCGGGCTCAGAACGCTTGGGGGGGGGGACCCCCTGGGGCTGGCCTGCCAGCCAGCCAAAGGATACCTATGACGGGAGCAGTGGTCCCTCTAAGCCAAGTTCGTGTGAGCCAGCTCACAGTCCTTTAGCCTCCGGCTCACACATTTCTGCCTTAGCTCAGGAAGGATGGGCTCCGGAACAAACTGATTTAAGCAGCAGCCCAATCGCTCGCCCACCCCTTTCATGCCAGTGGCTCACAAAGTAGAATCTTTGCTCACCAGGAGACTCCACGGCTGAGAGGGGGCCCTGGACGCAAGCCGAGACATCAGGGGCTCCCCTGCCCCAGCAGCACCCGCTGCTCGTTTCTGGAGGCCAGTGGGGCGCAGGGGGACGGGCTGCAGGCTCCCCCCCCCCCGATCCAGACGTGGTGGCTGACCCCACTCGGGCACTGAGCTGCACCGGGCCACAGACTGTGCCAAGACCAGCAGCCACTCACTCCCCACGCAAGGAGCCCTGCTCGATCAGACCAGCGAGAGGGTCCATTCCAGCCCAACCTCCTTTCACACAGGAGCCAACCGAATGCCCCGGAGGACCAACCAAGAGGGCGCAGAGAGCCCCGGACGCCTGGGACAGCCTGCAAGTCTTGCCTCTGACCTTTTCTTTCGGGAGCTTCTCAAAGAGCCAGTCCGCCGGCAAGGCGGGACACAAATTGAAAATAATAAATAATAATAATAAAGATGCCAAATCTCCCGGCAGAGACTGTGCTTTGGCTGCAGAAGGTCCCATTCACAATCCTTGGCAGCAGCGCCCCCCCCCTTTCCCGGGTCCAAGGACCTCCGGCCCTGGGAATGTCTACGGGGTGTGTGTCTCCAGCTGACAAGGTCCCCCAGCTCTGCTGCTGTGGCAGGGGGAGGGGGGTGGGGAGGCTGACGCAGAGTCTGTTGCTGTGCAGGAATCTTGGCCTCCGCTTTTCCTCACCGTGTCTTATCTGCTAGCCGAGGCCTGTGACCTTGGTACCAGGCTGCTGCTTTCACTGGGAACGCAGAGACCCGTCCGCTCAGGCGGGCTTCAGCTTAACCCCTGACTGGCTCAGACCCACCAGGGGACCCTGCTCCGAAGTGAGCGCATCTTCTCGTTTCGCGGGCTTGCAATGAGTTCTGACGCAGGATATGTGCCCAGAGGACCTGCCTTTACTGCACTCAATAAACCTGGACCTTCTGAAGGAACGTTGTTGAGAACTGATTCCTACGGGACCCTGACACAAGGGCCGACACTGCCCGGCCTCTGCGGACTGCGGCTTCCTGAGCACCCACGGGACCCCCACCGGCCTAGGAACTGCCCCCCCCGACTCCGATGAGGAGAACAACTACCTCTCCAGACAAAAGGACAATCTGCTTCTGAGGAGGAAGAAGACAAAGCAATTGCAAAAGTTTAAACAGATACAGTTGTATTAGAGCTTGTCAGGACCACAGGGGGAGGACGAACCCACCAGAGCCAGCTTGGTGTGGTGGGCAGGAGGGCGGGCGGGCTCCAATCTGGGTTCTCCCCCTCCCCCCCGTGCAGCCAGCTGGGTGGCCTTTCGGGGGTTCTCTCAAGGGCAGTCCTCTCAGAGCTCTCCCAGCCTCACCTGCCTCACAGGGTGTGCCAGTGGTGGGGAGGGGGAGGAGACTGTCAGCCGCTCGGAGACTCCCGAGTAACGGGCCAGGGGTAGAAGTCCAACCTCTCCTTCTCCTCCTCTGTCCACCCATGGCAGGCCACGCGGCACTTGTGTGTGTGTGTGGGGGGGGGAGTCACGTGCCATTCTGCTCTCCTCTCCCGGGTTACCCACCCCCACCCCAGAGAATGATCTGAAACCCACACCCACTCTCTCTCTCCACCCACCATCCAAAGGCTGTGCAAGAAGAGGCAGGGAGGGAGGGAGGGAGGGAGGGAGGGAGGGATGGGCCGCAGCTCGAAGGCGAAAGGAGCCTTCATCATCGGGGACACAGACCCCACCCGGCCCCTCCTCGCGGCTTGGCGTCACTCTGTCCTCCCCCTCATTGTTCTCTCACCTCGTCAGATGCCTGACGTCTAACTCACGGGGCCAAAGGCAAACGACAAGGAAACTTCTTTTGGCAAGTAATAACAAGAAGCACTGCTATTATGCTCAGAGCGACCGACCTCTCCGTCCCCCCCCTCCCCCATGCAGCTCCAGAGGATGGCCAGTGAGCGTCTGCCCTTATGCTGCCCCGGCAGAGCAAGTAGAGCTGCGATCCAGAAAGTCCCCCCCTCTCAGCCTCACCCCCTTAGTCTGCCTGCCACTGGGAGGGGCTCATAAGGCCCAGCACGGTTGTGGCACACGGATGGCTGAGGTCGTGCAGGTGCGGCGTCAGCCCCAAAGGCCGCCGTGAATGCTGGCATCTGGACAGAAGCATCTGGAGGTGGCCACGCTGGCCTCAAAATCCGTCCGTTCTTAATTGGAAACGTCCTGATTGGAGACGGGGTGGCCGCAAGAGGAGGCGGCCGTGGGCCCTCTGAAGAGGAACCTCCCCTGGAGAGGAGACTGTGCCGGCCCCCACTCTGCCCCCCCCCCGCAGGCGCAGGCTCCGTTCCTCCCACGCGCATCTTCTGGGCGCCTGCCACGAGTGTCCACGCGCAGCAGCAGCAGCAGCAGGGACCACCGTCCACACTCAGACTCTCTTCTTCCTGCTTCTAAAGCCGCGGGTGGCCCCTTGCCCAAAGCAGATGCTGGGCGGGATCCTGGAAGACAAAAGCCCAATGAGAAAAGGCCGCTGTCACCGGGGCATTTATTGTCTCTCCTGAGGATTCACGTGCCCCCTCTCCCTCCAGAGGCTCTGGCTGAAACCCATCATAAAGGTCTAGCAGATTGTTACAAACTGGCAGAGCAGTCAGCTGCAACTGAACGATGGACGTGAGTGGCTCTGGGCCCTATGATCCAGGTGCCACCTTTCAAGGAGCTGGGGCTGGACAGCTGGGACAGAGAGAACACCCTAACCAGAGCTGGGCCTCTGGACAGTCAGAAACCACTTGCTCAGCTGCTCTGTCAAACGGTGGTCAAGTATTTTTGAAGTATTCATTGGAAAGAACTAAATGCAGTTCAACCTTCAGCAGGTTTCATACTTATGAGACTTAACAATAAAAAGTTACCTTGCTATGGGACAATTGGCTGACCTTTTTTAAAGCAGTGAAGTTATAGCCTGATGTCAGGAGAGCAAAGGATGGAGGCCAGCCGTGACAGCCCCTCGCAAGAGATCCCCAAAGCCCCCAAAACGTCCTCATCAAGGCCAGACCAAAAGAACACAGCACAGCCCGCCAGCTTCTGCGCTCTCCAGAACCCTCCCTCCGCCAGGCCACGGTCATCCTGCGTGGAATGCCTTCCTGGCCCTGATGGGCACCGGGGGAAATAGATAAGCATCTGGAGCAGAGGTCCATCAGTGGCTCTTAGCCACAAGGTATAGATTGGGGCTCTGGGGCAAGGGATGCTCTGTATTCTTGGTGCTTGGGGGGGGGGCAACAGTGGGAGGGCTTCTAATGTCCTGGCCCCACTGCTGGACCGCCTGATGGCACCTGGTATTTCTGGCCACTGTGTGACACAAGAGTGTTGGACCGGATGGGCCACTGGCCTGATCCAGCATTGGCTTCTCTTATGTTCTTATGTTCTCTGCTGCGCAGCGAGGAGGACTCAGCTTACCCTACCTCACAGGATGGTTGTGAGGAGGTGTGAACCAGGCAGGCTGCCCTGAGCCCCTTGCAGGGAGGGCTCGCTAAAAATGCTGGACCACCAAACAGCCATGTTCAAAGTATGCTTGAAAGCATCCCCAACCCCGGCGGATCGCCTAGAGGGGAGCCCCCCCCCTCGCTGGAGTTCTGGTGCTCTCAGTCTGGCTAGAAGAAGACAAGCAGCCCGGGAGGACCAACGCCCCCCCCCCCCGCCCGGAGCAACATGGAAAAGTGGGGGGGGGACGGCCACCCGCACAGGGACCTTCTCGGCGAGGGGGAGAATCGGATGGAAGGCCAGATAATAACACAGTCAGCTGGCCGGACCTGCATGGTCAGCTGACTGGCATGCCACCCTCTGCCTGGCACCGGAAGGCATGAAGGTGCAGCCTTTTTAAAAGCTGTTTTTGAGACCTGCTTATTAAACGCCCACCGCTGCAGACACCCCCGGCTGTGAGACACACGCGGGGCTGAGACCAGTTTCGGAAGGGAGCCCGGCTGGACTGCAGCAGATTACAGGGGTCGGATTCGAGTCCAGGGGAGCCCCATTCCGAGTCCAGCAAGGTCTTCGGGGGAGGAGCTCCCCAGAATCAGAGAGCGCCCCCCCCCCCGGTCAGAGGCAAAAGGCCCGCCGAAGGGAGCCTCGACGCTTGAAAGCTCAGGACCCCCCAACCCACCCCCAAATCTTGACGGTCTCTAAGGTGCTGCCTGCTCAAATGCGCTCAGCTGCTTGAAGTGCAGATTATGCCAACAAACGATCCCCAATTAGCAAATAATCAACATCCTGGTGGGGAAAAAGAGAACAGAAGCCCCTCTTACGCAGACCCCAAGTATTCCGAGGGAGGGCTGGGGCACATGGGAGGAGGAGCCACAGGTGCTACACGGGCCCCTGGTGAAGCCCAGGAGAGTTCCATGCTGGAATGAAAACATGCCCCAAAAGGCTCCTGCTTTTACAACAGCAGCAGGTACACCGGCGGGCACAGCAATAGTGTCAGGACAGACCTTGGCTCTTCCAAAGCGGCAGGGAAACAGACCTGGGTCTAGGGAGCTGTGTCACAGACGGTGGCGAGACCGGCGTGTTCTCCATCCCAGGCTGGGGGGCCTGATCCGCTGCAGTCTCACTAGGGCCGGTTTCCATGGCATCCCCTGGTGAACGTTCACAGGCTTCGATGTTAACATCCATTGGCACACTGTGGTCTCTAGATGGAGGCGTCATTGTTTTTGTGCTGCGGCAAAGACATAATAGTTTTCAGGGCTTCTCCTTCAGGGCAACTAGAGGCTCAGTGAGGTGCCGGAGAGAAGCCACGGCCTCCTTTCTACACCGTCCTCTGCTTTCCTTCTGGCCAATGCCTACCTTCCACATACTGATCTTATTCCCAAGGCAGAGCATTCAAAGAAAACTACACAGTGAGCATATTTACCTTTTGGATTTCACAGGCTTATCAAACCTAAAGTCGGCGGGATACTGGTGCACTTTGATCAAATGGTCCTTCCGGTCTTTGCTGCTCTTGAACTTCTCTGCACAGCTCTCCACCAGACACTGGTACTAGAGGAAGGAAAGGTTCTGCTGTTACTCGGCTGCTCTCTGTAAAGCCAAAAGACCCACTAGGTAGCTTTCTTCTCCAGCAGTTCCCCAGATTCCAGATGTGCAGGAATAATTTAAAAAAACGAAAAAGAATCCTAGCCCCTCGTCCTCCATAGCTCAGGCTCATGGCTCAGCCCCTAGTCCTTGGGGGTCTGGGTGCTTCCCCCTGTGGAACAGGAGAAAGAGCAGACAAAAAGCATCTCTCTTTATCGTCAACAGTGTTTTGCAGGGAGTGTCACATGTATGACTATCTGCCCACTGGACAGAAGTCTTGGGTGTGTGCTCGGTGCAAGGAGCTCCTGGTTCTCAGGGAACGAGTTTGTTCCCTTCAAGCCAAGGTGGCTGACCTGGAAAAGCAGAGACAGTCAGTTAGGCACATGGAGAAGACTCTCGGGGACTTGCTAGATATGTCCCACTCTGGTTATGGCAGCCCCACCGCTGTCAGGGAGCATGAGGGTCGAGAGGACACAGGGCTGAGGGTAAGGGGAATATGCCCTCAGAAGGGACCTCTTCTTCATCTGGTGAATGGGTATCCCTTTGCACCAAGGAACCATCCCTGGGCAGGGAGGGGGAGGGGGGGGGCTCTTGGAAGTTGGTAATTCGATCCTTAGGCAGGTAGACAGCTGGGTGGCGAACCCGTGTACTGACCGTATGGTGACTAGCCTGCCTGGTGCGAAAGTAGCGGACATTACGCGTGTTCTAGATAGGCTGGTAGATAGTGCTGGGGAGGAGCCAGTGGTCGTGGTGCATGTCGGCACCAATGATGTGGGGAAATGCAGTCGTTGGGTCCTGGAGGAGAAATTTAGGCTGCTGGGCAGGAAACTCAAGGCCAGGACCTCCAAGGTAGCCTTCTCGGAAGTGCTACCTGTTCCACGTGCAGGGCCAGAGAGACAGGCACAGATCAGAACATAAGAACATAAGAGATGCCAATGTTGGAGGCCCATCCAGTCCAACACTCTGTATCACACAGTGGCCAGAAATACCAGTGCCATCAGGAGGTCCACCAGTGGGGCCAGGACATTAGAAGCCATCCCACTGTTGACCCCCCCAAGCACCAAGATGACAGAGCATCACTTGCCCCAGAGTCCCTATCTATACCTTGTGGCTAATAGCCACTGATGGACCTCTGCTCCATATGCTTATCTAATTCCCTTTTGAAGCCGTCCATGCTTGTAGCCGCCACCACTTCCTGTGGCAGTGAATTCCAAGTGTTAATCACTCTTTGGGTGAAGAAGTACTTCCTTTTATCTGTTCTAACCCGACCGCTCAGCAATTTCATGGAGTGCCCACGAGTTCTTGTATTGTGAGAAAGGGAGAAAAGTACCTCTTTCTCTACCTGCTCTTTCCCATGCATAATCTTATAAACCTCAATCATGTCACCCCTCAGTCGTCGTTTCTCCAAGCTAAAGAGCCCTAAGCGCCTTAACCTTTCCTCATAGGGAAAGTGTTCCAACCCTTTTATCATTCGAGTTGCCCTTTTCTGCACTTTTTCCAAAGCTATAATATCCTTTTTAAGGTGTGGTGACCAGAATTGCACACAGTATTCCAGATGAGGTCGCACCATTGATTTATATAGCGGCATTATGATATTGGCTGATCTGTTTACAATACCCTTCCTAATAATCCCCAGCATAGCATTGGCCTTCTTTATTGCAGTCACACACTGTCTCGACATTTTCAGTGAGTTATCTACTACAACTCCAAGATCTCTCTCTTGATCAGTCTCTGCCAGTTCAGACCCCATCAACGTGTATTTATATTTAGGATTTTTGGCTCCAATGTGCATCACCTTGCACTTGGCCACATTGAACCCCATTTGCCATGTTGACGCCCACTTGCCCATCTTTGACAGATCCCTTTGGAGTGCCTCACAATCCTCACTGGTTTTCACCACCCGGAACAACTTCGTATCATCCGCAAATTTAGCCACTTCACTCCTTACTCCCAACTCCAAATCATTAATCAGGAGTCTCAATACGTTGATGAGACGATGGTGTAGGGGGGTGGGGTTAAAGTTTGTTAGGCACTGGGATACTTTTTGGAACAAGAGGGATCTGTACAGAAGAGACGGTCTCCACTTGTCCCGAGAAGGAACCAGGCTGCTGTCGTTTAAAATCAAAAAGGTGGCAGAGCAGTTTTTAAACTGAATATTGGGGGAAAGCCGACAGGTTCGGGTCGGATCATCTCCGAGAGATGAGGGGGTACCTGTTGCTTTTCTACAGGGAGGTGGATTGAAATTGTCCACAGAGGCCATGGCTGGTGACATGGACTGCCGGACAACGACTCGAGATAGCAAGAGGAAGGATGCAGGCTGGAAGGTTGCAGGCTTAACTTGTATGGGAAATTATAGCTGTTTCTATACAAATGCTAGAAGTGTCCGAGGTAAAATTGGGGAGTTGGAGTGCTTGGTGTTGGGGGGAAAATAGACATTGTGGGTATTTCAGAAACTTGGTGGGATGAGGAAAATGTCACTCCCATCTTTAAAAGGGGTTCCAGAGGAGATCCAATATCGGAAGGATGGGGGGGGGGGTTGGAGGTGGGGTGGCTCTGTATGTCAGAGAGGGTATACAGTCCAGTAAGATTGAGAGGGTAAGAGAATTGGATTTGCTTCTGGAAATGCTATGAGTTGAAATAGTGGGTCCAAAAGGAAGCTTAACACTGGGAGTTTGTTACCACCCACCAGATCAAGAGATAAAGGAGGATTATAAACTGATGAATGAATTAAAGATAGCGGCTAGACAAAAAAACTGTGTCATAATAGGTGATTTTAACTACCCACACATTGATTGGGTCAATATGTGTTCTACTCGGGAAGGAGAAATCCTACCGACTTCCGGTACGGCGCATCGACGAGCAGGCGGGAGCCCGGAGTGCCCCGTCCCCGCTCGCACCGCTTTCGCTTCGTTCGGGCCCCCCGCATGTCGGGGGAGCTCGTCCAGCACCCCGTTGGTGGGTGCTGGAGCAGGGGGCATTTTTCTGGCCCTTCCCCGCAATTGGCAGGGCGGGGGAGGTGTCCAGAGCAGCCCCGACGCTGAGGCAGATAACAAGCGAACAAGATCGGAGTTCTTGTGAGACGCTGCCACCCGGTTTGTTTTTAAAGTTTTTCTTTTTTGTTGTCGTTGGGGAAGATACATTGCATTGAGAGACAGATGGAGTTGGAAGAACTACCCCCCGATTTGGCCCCCCCTTTTATGCAAGAAGCGGCCGTTACAAAGGTACAGGGGAAATCATGAATGACGAGTTAAATGGGGGATGAAGAAATTGCCTGTGGAGAGTATCATTATCTCTGGAGAGTTAAAAATTGCCAGTGAACACGAGAGAAAGGACTTGTAAAAGCGAGGCTCTAGAAGCGAAAAATGGAAGGAACAATAATAATTAGCTTAAAATCTGCCTCCATTCCTGGGGACTGGAAGGTAGCTAATGTCACTCCCATCTTTAAAAAATGTTCCAGAGGAGATCCGGAAATTACAGGCCAGTCAGTCTGACGTCGATACCAGGTAAATTGGTGGAAACTGTTATTAAGGAAAGAATTAGTAAGCACATTGATGAACAAAAACTATTGAGGCGGACTCAGCATGGGTTCTGTAAGGGAAGATCTTGTCTCACTAACCTGTTAGTGTTCTTTG